TACATACATACATACACACATACATACATACACACACACATACATACATACATACATACATACACACATACACACATACACACACACATACACACACACATACACACACACATACATACACACATACATACATACACACATACATACATACACACACACATACATACATACATACATACATACACACATACATACATACACACACACATACATACATACATACATACATACATACATACATACATACATACATCCATACATGCATACATACATACATACATGTCTAGGCCTAGGCTCAATTCTAACATTTATGGGCCTAGTGTGGGGCTTGGGCCTGGATCAGGGGTAATTTTATCATAAAAATATTTAATAAACTTGATTGGCCATTCGGGAATAATTTGGTTATGTAATGAACAACTCTTATTAGTTATTAATGGTCACTAATGAAAATCTTGAGGAAGGGTGAATTTTGAAAATAAAATTCAATGAGAAAGGGGATATATGGAGGTTTTGAAAAGTCATGGTAAATTTTAGATAAAACTAGTTGAGAAACCCATGCATCATGAAAATAAATGAAAAAAATCAATAATTAAAAATATAATTAAATTCACTAATACAAATCAAGTATATAAAAAAAAAATCTAATTTAGGATGAAAATATGGTGTTGACCTCAACTTGGAAAGGACTTGAATTTAGGTCTTTAGTAGCTACAATCTAATCCAAAACCATACTGGCATTTGGCATCCTATACCTTGTCAATTGTCTCAATTGTTGATGGTCATCCCACTACCACCAGGGCTAGGAGTTAAGGGGATGGGGGATGGGCTACCTCCATTTGTTTAACCCCATAAAACATAAGAAAATAAAGAAACAAAAGAAAACTTTCTTGATGAATATAATATTTTCACATTATTTGATTGGGGCATTATGGAACTTTTAACCTTATGAAAACTTTCTTCCCCCATCTATATTTAAGTTGAAACTGGGCCAAAATCATTTCTTTATTCTACTTAACCATTTTTAACGTGGACTATTGTTATGGGAGTTTACTTTCTCAGTACTCGACTTATAAACACATAATAAATTTATATGTCAACTTAAAAAAAGTCCAACCTTAATAGTTAATATAATGTCCTCTTCCTCAAAACCCTCATCACCCATATTCCTCTCCCTCTAAAGATTAGTTATGATCTTCACTTTCAAATTCATTTTTCTATTTATCTCTTTCCCTGGCTCAAATGGAAATGCCTTTAATTATTCTATCTTCAAGACTAACACGTCAACGGTGAATGTTTTTAACAAGTTATAACTTAGGCCTTTTCGGTTTAGGTGATGAGATGGGATATGCTTTTCCAATTTATACCACTTGTTAGGCATAGTATTCATCTTCTAGGATACCATTAGTTTAATGAAACGATTTGATTTTTTTAACAATGGATCATAAAACAAATCATAACTTTTATTCTTTTTGGTAACTAAACAACGGATCAAAATTTAACCTTGCCTTTTGCTCCAAACCATCCAGCCACACTATTCGCCTTCATCTTCTTAGTTGTTGGTTATCTTCCTCTTCACCGACGATTTTGCTACCATGGTAAAGTGAGGGAGAGGGCTAGGTCCTGTTTTTAAGATTTTTGAATAAAAAATTATTTTATTTTCTTTCAAAAGTATACGAAAGTTTCTTCTTGCAAGCAGTTTCTTGCTTTTATTTTCTATATTTCACTTTTGATCAAAATTAAACATTCAAATAATTTTAATTATGATTCCTTCTTTGGAGAAGATATATTTCTTATGGTCCATTGAATGTGAATCCCCTTTATAGACAACCATACCATGGCTATAATAAATAATTAAATCATTCTTATTGAGTCTACTACTATCTTTCACCCATATCTTAAAAAAGTATCCAAACAAGCCCTAAATTAATATTGAGCCCATAATAGGATTCTTATTATCTAACTTAAATTAATATTAATTCAATAAGAGGTGTCTTTTGTATTCTTTTCAAGTTTTGGTGTTTAGATGATTTCACATGCACTACGTTAATCCTAAGTGAGGTTCATGAATTTTTTATTTTTATTCTAAATATTAGGGTAAATATATAGAATAATTGATCGATATATGATTTCAAAAAAAAACATAAATAATGATAAATTATTGGTTATAGGATTGCCAACCATCATTTAGCAGTACTTATGTGTCATGTGTGTAATTGATGAGAATTTATGGATGGTTACAATGAGTTAAATGAAAATAGTAGGTAGCAATAAGGTCACCACCGGAGTGTGTACGTGGCCATTTATGATAATCAAATACTTGAGCGCTCAAAAAAAGAACATTGGAAAATAAAAATTGTCGAGGGTAAAGATGAAAAGTAAAATCAAGATACAACCATGTTAACAGTTTGCATTCTCACTTTTTATCGATGGAAAAAACCTTGATAGACAGCATATGACCTCATGATAGTTAAATACTAGAAAAACAAAAATCAAAGAGGGTAAAAAGGAAAGTAAAATCAGGCTTTTTGACTAAACAATTGTTACAATCCTCATTTTTATAAATGGTACAGAAATAACGGGCCAAGACACCTTTGGCGCCTTGCATTAAAAAGAAACCCAAAATGAAAAGACCAATACCAAAATACACATAATTTATACTATATGTATGAAGCAAAGATGCCACATCAAATGGGCTTCCCTTACTCCAAATCCCCTCCTAATTTTTTCATTTTTCTTATTTTTTGTTCTCTAAAAAATGATGGAATGGGATTCAATGTCTCTTCCAACGTGAGCCCCCACCCCAATCTTCTTCTTTTCCACGCCTATTCTTTCTCTTTTTCTCCCTCTCTTTTCTTTTCTATTTTTTTTTCCTTTTTCTTTTTTCCCCTCTTCTTTCCGTTAAGGTCAAAGTTGGGGAAGGACAGATCGTCTCCCCCTCTTCTTCTTCTTCTTCTTCTTCTATGGCAAATGGGAATGAGAAAATAAAGAAGTTTCCATTTTTAATAAAATGTGCAGTTTCTTTGATTTTCATGGTCACCAGTTCTAGCAACCTTATAGTCATTTTAATGGCCGTTGGACACAGATGACCCCCCCCCCCCATCCCAATGACATTCTTTCTACCTCAGTTTCCCTCTCGGATGTGGATAGCTTCCATGTTGTGTTTCAGGTTGGAATGGCCTAAACAATATAGGTTGTGTTTGGTACTATTGCCACCTTTACTTGTAAAGTTTTGTGTTGATCAATGCAAATTTTTGAAAAACTGTCTTATCACATCACATCAAATAACCATTTTCATGGCATTTACAATAGAAACACCAAATCTGTCTTCGCCAAAGAATCAGTAGAAGTGGCAATGGTACCAAACACAATCATATTTTTAAGTAGTTGGGTTGTATTCATGATGTGCATAAAGAAGATGATAAAAACAGGTCAAATGTGACCCTTTTTTGAAATTGCCCATTAACATGTGTCGTTATATGTTTTTTTTTTGAAAGATAAAGAAACTATATTAACTAGGGATGACTGGAATAATAAATTTCATTACATCTGGTACCCTGCCCGGGTAAACTTCAAAGAAAAAAGAGTCTTGAGTGCAACATTTTGCTAATTGGGCAATTATTGGCCGGGATGTTAAAGTTTCTATATACATAACATAAATCCACAGAAAGGCAGGAGGCTAGTTTTTGTTTGGTCATTGACATAAGCCCACAGCACGATCAATGGAGAGATGCTTTGTTCAACAAAGCCTAAATCACTTTCTGAGAATTTGAACATATCAAAAGATTTCCTTTCGGAAGTTGAGTTGCTTGTTGAACTCCCTGCGAGATAGCAAATAATTCAGCCTCTTCAATGGACTTAAGATTAACTCTCCCCCCAACTACACAGATAGGATAAACTAGGTGATACACAGATTGCTCCAAATGAAAATTCAGAATTATCTACAGAACTTACATTAGCAAAAACAATACAGTCGATATGCTCCTGAACTCAGGGAAAATAGTCGATCTAGAGATCAGACTTTCCCCTCTAAAGCTTTCCTCACACCACAGTGGTGCATTGGATATATCACATTTGTACAATATACTATTAGTAACGGTCTTTAGGCGATTGACTTATAGCCATAGGTGGCTCCTCACTTATTTTGGAAGGGAGGGCTTAGGGTGTAAATGGATCGAATTTGAATCGAATCAGGCAATATCCGAATTCAAAACCGATTAAAAAATTTGATATCCGAATTCGATTTAATATCCGACGGATATTGAAAATTAATATTCGAATTCGAATCCGATTAGATATTTAAATATTCGATTTGATTCAAATTTGACTAATTAAAAATAAATATTTTATTTATATAAAGTATATAAATATATAAATTATTTATATAATTTAATTATTATATATATATATATTTTATAAAACATTTAAAAATTTTATATATTATATATAAGAATTAAATAATCGGTCGAACTCGGATATTTATCAAATTGAATAAGATCATATCCAAATTCAAATTGATTAGCTATTCGGTATAAAAAGAATATCCGAATTCGACCAATTAAATATTCAAATTATCTAAATTCAATTTGATTATATTGAATTTCAAATTTAAAAATTGGATTTTCAAATACCAAGGTTTTTCTTTATATGGAAAAACTTTGGGGGTTGCAGGCCAATGCCTATGTAGTTGAGAATATTTTTTGGAGCAGAAGAGAGAAGAAATCTTCAAAAAAGGGTTCCCTGACCCAAACTGGGCAAGTATCAGTCCACAACTCTCAACCCCGAAGACCTCTTTGCGCTATTTGGTGAGCTACCTGATTAGCACTCCTTTTAACAAAACTGAACCTGACATTTATAGTAGCTGCAAGGGCCAGACAGTCGTGCAACCGGAAGAAACAGTCCAGCGAGAAAGAAGTTGAATTTGAAGTAAGTGCCTTGAATCATGAATTCACATCTCCTCCCCACTATGAGCCGCCCCACAACGTCCCACAACATATCCTCGCCGTGTATCAAGAACATTTCCCGATGATGATATCATCGGTTCTGATAATATTATCGGGGGAGATAATTCCAATACATGATGGGAATGTACTGTGGGACATTGTGAGGCAGCCCCTTGTGGGAAGGAGATGTGATCTTCTCGATCACTACGTTGGAGAAATTCAAAGGCTTGGCCAGGTTTAAACCTTCAAACACTGCCTAAGCCTTTACCTGTTGAGGAGACGAACTACGGACCGAGAAGCACTTCAAAGTCAAACCATGGGGGCTAACAACCTAATTTGAATTAGTTAAACGCTTTAGCTGAAGTATTAAATTCATACGCTCCACTAAAAGATGGGAGCCCCATGCATTTAATAATGGCATAAAAACTTATTATTGGTTCTACAGCCCACTAAACAGCTTTCCTTTCACATAAACTCTGCATGCTGTATAGACGAAAACCTTTCTCCCATTAATTTAATACACACATACGGGAGATATTCTAGATGTATGGATGGATGATGAAATTCAGGGTACATACAAAGTATTGTGGTGATGAGGGTCAGAGAACATGAGCCAACGCCTCCCCCCTCTCTCCCTTTGCAGCTTCTTGAATATTCTATTCCTCCTCCTCCTCCTCTAATATGTTGGGATTTATTCATAAAATCGGTTTGATGTTGCACGATCTGATGCTCTCTACTAGACAAATTTGGATGTTGGGTTGGTGAGGCCACCTCGGTGAGTTGTAATAAAATAGTATAGTGTTTGGTTGTTTTATCTAGGGTAGATACTTTGATGCTTAAGTTAGTGAAGAGTGTGTTGAAACAACATTTTAAAAAATGACTCGAAAACGGAATCGTTCTAGCCACCGGTTTCTGGGTTGACAATCTGACCGTCCGGTTCGAATGGACGACCTGTTCTGACAAACAAATTAAAAAAAAATAATTAAAAATAAAAAATGGTCAAAATGGTTGAATGGGTCAACAGGTTGACAATTTGACCACCCGAGTCGATGGATTGTTGACTTTTTCAACGATTTTTTTATCAAAACCAAATTTGGGGTAAAACGAAACCAATTGCCTCAACAATTCCTGGGCCGAACGGTCCAACCATCCGGATCAACGACAATTCGAAAACATTGTTTTGAAGAGTTAGAATGCGAAAGAGCTTAAGAGTTATGAGAGCTAAATCGTGTATGCTTTTCTTGAAGAATGGAACGCTTTTATATAGGTGCAACTTACCTAGGTTTCATGTAACACATCCGAGATCATCTGTCCGTTTGGTTCGGACGTGATTTCACGCCCGAAAGCAAACTCTACGTAAAGCGCTAATGCTTATCTAATTGCCTTCGAAATGAGGATTCAACTCCATCAACAGGGCGATGTGAGACCAAAAGAGTCGAAGATGATATAACCCACTGGTGAAGTCGCCAGCCACGTCATATACGCCGCTAACTGAGCCACGGTCAAGTCAGTGGAGGTAAGTCACTTCTTATACCGACATGATACTGGGCGTCCACAGGTTGCCCAGCCGAAATGGGTGCGACATGTCCAAAGTGCTAAAATCAACCCTCTTATCATGGTCCTATAGCATTTTTCCACCACACGAGAGGTAGATATTCATATTTGTATGTTTTCATTGAGATGGGAGATTTTAACAATCCAAGTTGCAAGGGGTGTGAGGAGGAAATCCGATTTAATAAAATATAACGTKGCAATTTCTCGCACCCCTTCGTGTACCTGGACTGAGATTTTCCCTTTTTCAACTTATAATATTCTTTTTTATTTTTAATTTATCTTCTGTATTTTCTATTTTGCTTACCACAAAAAAAAAAAGAAAAGAAAATCTTTTGCTTCTTCATCTATACCGGTAGAAGGTCAACCATCGGTGGCAGAGTTACCTTATTTCTTCAGTCTCCCTTTGCCGCCCAACCCACACACTGCACTCTCATCTTATGGGCTCCCTTCCTGTTCCTGATGCGTTGCGGTGGTGGTGGCAAGTGAGCAACCGCAGAGATGAATACGCCCGAGCAGTGCTCACACTTTCCTTGGTAGTCCTTTCCATCTCCTGGTACGCATGGTTAACCAGGAAATCAAGKAAAGCAGACCTCCCGTTGCCGCCCGGCCCACGAGGCCTGCCCCTGGTCGGAAACCTCCTTTCCCTTCACCCGGAACTCCACGTCTATTTCGCCGAGCTGGCTCGGACCTATGGCCCCATCACGAAATTGCAGCTAGGTAAGAAGTTGGGCATTGTGATTACCTCACCGTCGTTGGCTAAGGAAGTGCTCAAGGACCACGACACCACCTTTGCCAACCGTGACGTACCGGCTGCAGGCCGGGCGGCTACGTATGGGGGCCTTGATATTGTATGGACTCCATATGGTCCAGAGTGGCGATTGCTGCGTAAGGTGTGCGTGCGTGAGATGCTCGGCACTGCCACTCTTGACGCCGTTTATGGCCTTCGTCAGCGGGAGGTTCGCCGGACCGTGGAATACCTGTATTCCAGGACTGGCTCCCAGGTGAATATTGGGGAGCAGATGTTCTTGACCGTGCTCAATCTGATCACGAGCATGCTGTGGGGCGCTACGATCAAGGGGGAGGAGCGGTCTCGTCTCGGCGCAGAGTTCCGACAAGCCATTGGCGAGATGACAGCGCTGCTGGGTATGCCCAATGTTTCCGATTTTTTTCCTATTCTGGCCCGCTTCGATCTGCAAGGCGTGGAGAGGAAGATGAAGGGTCTGGCCTCGCAGTTTGATCGAATGTTTGATTCCATGATTCATAAACGGCTGAATATCATGGACGAAAAAGGTAAAGAGGAGGGCCATGACTTTCTGCAGTTCCTATTGAATCTCAAGGACCAAGGAGATGCTAAGAACTCCCTCACAATGAATCAAATCAAGGCCTTACTCATGGTATGGTTTTACTTAATTAATCTAGCTATATTTAAAATGATATCCAGTTCATCCTTAACAATATTTCACCACTTTGAAGATAACTCTGTTCTGTTGGGCATTTATATTTGTAATCAGACTGATCAATCATATCGTTGACTGAACAGGACATGGTGGTTGGTGGGACGGATACGACTTCAAACACGGTAGAGTGGGCAATAGCCGAACTGATGAACAAGCCAGAGACGATGAGGAAAGCCCAAGAAGAACTGGAGAGAGTGGTGGGTAAAGACAACATAGTCGAAGAGTCTCACCTTCCCAAGCTACACTACTTGCAAGCCGTGATGAAAGAAGTGCTCCGTTTACACCCGGTTCTGCCACTGTTAGTCCCCCATTGCCCAAGCTCTTCGTGCGCTGTTGGGGGTTACATGGTCCCCAAGGGCGCCAGAGTCTTCGTCAATGCGTGGGCAATCCATAGAGACCCTGCGTTGTGGGACAAACCCTTGACGTTTGATCCCGAGAGGTTCTTGATTGATGGGAAATGGGATTACACCGGCAGGGATTTGAGCTACTTCCCGTTTGGTTCCGGGAGGAGGATATGTGCAGGGATAGCAATGGCAGAGAGGATGGTTATGTATGCATTGGCATCGCTGTTGCATTCGTTCAACTGGGAATTGCCGAAGGGAGCAAAGCTTCAACTTACTGAGAAGTTTGGGATTGTGCTAAAGAAGGCCACACCTCTTGTCGCAGTCCCCACGCCAAGGTTATCTGATCCAAAACTTTATGCCGGATGTTAGTTTCATCGTCGTCTTCTCTGGTATAAATCTTTTATCCTGCCAGCTGTACCTTGACTTGTGTTGAAATGCAATAAAGTTTTAATATATATATATATATATGCAGAGAAGATTCTGTTATGTTCTTGATCGAATTGAGAGTACTCAGCTCAGATCTATGTTGTATAAAAGAAATGAACAACAAAATAAGCCCAATGCAATAATTTTCAAGAAACTAAAACAAGATGGGTGGTTGGCTGGTTGGAGTGATTAGCACAAGGTCTTTGAACATTACAGAAAATTACTCAGACAAGCTTGACGTATTAACCTTCCGGTATAGCAGTAACTCTATAATGCCATGACTAGTGCATGCCAAATTCTTGGCTGTCTTTTGCGAAAAGAAGATTCCCCTCGTTGCATTTAGGTAAATCCGAAGCCATTTTTCAGCACCATTTTCTTACAACCGAGTTCATCACCAAGTATTTGTCAAAAGGCCACAAAGAGGTAAGCCCCTCACCTCATCCTTTTTTATTTTATCTTGATGATTTTTCTTTTTGTTTTCTTAAATCTTCCTAATGATATAGGTGCTTTTCTTTTCTTTTCTTTTTTTTCATTTCAGCCGTGATTATTTTGTTGATTGGATGGTGTTTGGCATTCTTGTTGGTTAATTTCCTAGTTATTAGGTGTAAAAATCATTAGAATAGTTTGTTGGTTGATTTGGATAGCATTCTATGTCTGTTTAGTAGTTACTTAACTTAATTAGAATCAATATCATTGCTGAAATTTCTTCTCTCTCATATTATTCAAATTCGGATTTGTCTACTTAAGTGAATATACATTTTGGATCTTTTGCTTGAATGTCAGAATATGTGTTTAATGGTGCTTTATCTTCGTGTCAAATTATAATTTAAATTAGTTTGTTGTCTTATTTATTTGATTATTTTGCTTTATGATTTTTTTTATCCTAAATGTAGATTGTATTTAGTAAGCCCTATTTGAAGTGGCTCATAGGGGATTGATTCCCTTGTGTTTTGATTTCTCTCATTAGCCTAATAGGAACGAGGGAACCTTGGATAAAGAAGGAGGATGCATATAGTTGCCTAATCTTTTGCTCATTTAAGGGTTTCCTTCACCCAAAAAAGAGAATGAGAGGGTGGAATCACTTGGGAAACAAGCCACCATGACTATCCTCTTTGATGGGTAAAGTTATTAGAAATCTAGTAGGTTTTGTTTCCTTTGGTTCTTATTCTTTCTTTACTAAATTAGGGGAATGGTACTACATGTTAAGTATGGGAGAGGGGTGCTTAACACCTTCCCTCTCTCCCCTAAAAAGTACCTAGAATAACTTTATCTTGGTATGTATGAGTCATGTCTTGTTCATTGAACATGGGAGGCCCATCACTCCCATGTTTCTATTCTAGATGGGTAGCGGCTCCATACCATTTCAGCCATGGAGTGAATCCCAATTTCAATGGGATGTTCATAGTATACAATGGCGTTTCATTGTTATTGTGTTTTGGGTTAATCAATTCAAATTCGTTAGAAATATGTTTTTGTCAGTGTCACATGTATGGGCATAGTTTCAAGTAGAAAATTGCATGTATGGAAAACATCAAATTTAAAGTTTTAAGAAATAACAATTTGTATGTTCAATTCAAATCTGTCTCACAATTGTGAGACAAATGCTATGCAAAATCACTATACCAAACACTCCCTAGGTTTTGGCCTAACTAAGATGTTAGGTCTTCGGACTTCAATATATGACAAAGAGTTATGGTCAAGGTTCAAAATATCGATACGTCTGATACGCCGGTAGGGGTGTATCGGGCAAATCAATATTGTTTTTTGATGCTTTTTTTTTCTGCAACCGGTTCAGGTGGGCCGATTTAGGGCTCCTCCACCCCCTGAACTGTCAGACCCCCCGATACACCCACTGTAGAGGCATATCGGAGGGGTCCCAGAACGATGTGTATCGGCCAATACAGGCCGATACATGTCGATACTTGAACCTTATGATAAGCTTGGAATGAAGGAGCCGTTTGATAACACCTGAAGTAGTTAAAAAGGATTTTATTGCTTTGTCTTTTAATGAATATAAATTGTTGTAGGCTATTTGATGGCTGAAGCTGAAAGTGGGTATATCACTATACCCTTAAATATTTTATTATTTAATTATTTAATCCACTAATTAAAAGAGAAAGCAATAAGTCTTTTAATTCAGCCTTCAGCTGTTATTACTGCTCCCGCCTATAACTATTTTGTTCAATCTTTTTTGGGGATCGCGTAGCCTTAGGACCTCTATGATGTAAAGATAGACACAAATGGATTGGA